TACAATGATAGAACTTGCTTACAATGATAGAACTAGCTTACAATGATAGAAACTAGCTTACAATGATAGAACTTGCTTACAATGATAGAACTAGCTTACAATGATAGAACTAGCTTACAATGATAGAACTAGCTTACAATGATAGAACTAGCTTACAATGATAGAACTAGCTTACAATGATAGAACGTGCTTACAATGATAGAACTTGCTTACAATGATAGAACTAGCTTACAATGATAGAACTAGCTTACAATGATAGAACTAGCTTACAATGATAGAACTTGCTTACAATGATAGAACTTGCTTACAATGATAGAACTTGCTTACAATGATAGAACTTGCTTACAATGATAGAACTAGCTTACAATGATAGAACTAGCTTACAATGATAGAACTTGCTTACAATGATAGAACTAGCTTACAATGATAGAACTTGCTTACAATGATAGAACTTGCTTACAATGATAGAACTAGCTTACAATGATAGAACTAGCTTACAATGATAGAACTTGCTTACAAGGATAGAACTAGCTTACAATGATAGAACTAGCTTATAATGATAGAACTTGCTTACAATGATAGAACTTGCTTACAATGATAGAACTAGCTTACAATGATAGAACTTGCTTACAATGATAGAACTTGCTTACAATGATAGAACTTGCTTACAATGATAGAACTTGCTTACAATGATAGAACTTGCTTACAATGATAGAACTGCTTACAATGATAGAACTTGCTTACAATGATAGAACTTGCTTACAATGATAGAACTTGCTTACAATGATAGAACTTGCTTACAATGATTAGAACTTGCTTACAATGATAGAACTAGCTTACAATGATAGAACTAGCTTACAATGATAGAACTTGCTTACAATGATAGAACTAGCTTACAATGATAGAACTAGCTTACAATGATAGAACTTGCTTACAATGATAGAACTTGCTTACAATGATAGAACTTGCTTACAATGATAGAACTTGCTTACAATGATAGAACTAGCTTACAATGATAGAACTAGCTTACAATGATAGAACTAGCTTACGATGATAGAACTTGCTTACAATGATAGAACTAGCTTACAAAGATAGAACTTGCTTACAATGATAGAACATGCTTACAATGATAGAACTTGCTTACAATGATAGAACTAGCTTACAATGATAGAACTAGCTTACAATGATAGAACTTGCTTACAATGATAGAACTTGCTTACAATGATAGAACTTGCTTACAATGATAGAACTTGCTTATAATGATAGAACTTTCTTACAATGATAGAACTTGCTTACAATGATAGAACTTGCTTACAATGATAGAACTTGCTTACAGTGATAGAACTTGCTTACAATGATAGAACTTGCTTACAATGATAGAACTTGCTTACAATGATAGAACTTGCTTACAATGATAGAACTTGCTTACAATGATAGAACTAGCTTACAATGATAGAACTAGCTTGCAATGATAGAACTTGCTTACAATGATAGAACTAGCTTACAATAATAGAACTAGCTTACAATGATAGAACTAGCTTACAATGATAGAACTAGCTTACAATGATAGAACTTGCTTACAATGATAGAACTAGCTTACAATAATAGAACTAGCTTACAATGATAGAACTAGCTTACAATGATAGAACTTGCTTACAATGATAGAACTTGCTTACAATGATAGAACTAGCTTACAATGATAGAACTAGCTTACAATGATAGAACTTGCTTACAATGATAGAACTTGCTTACAATGATCGAACTAGCTTACAATGATAGAACTAGCTTACAATGATAGAACTAGCTTACAATGATGGAACTAGCTTACAATGATAGAACTTGTTTACAATGATAGAACTAGCTTACAATGATAGAACTAGCTTACAATGATAGAACTAGCTTACAATGATAGAACTAGCTTACAATGATAGAACTAGCTTACAATGATAGAACTTGCTTACAATGATAGAACTAGCTTACAATGATAGAACTAGCTTACAATGATAGAACTAGCTTACAATGATAGAACTTGCTTACAATGATAGAACTTGCTTACAATGATAGAACTAGCTTACAATGATAGAACTAGCTTACAATGATAGAACTTGCTTACAATGATAGAACTTGCTTACAATGATCGAACTAGCTTACAGTGATCGATCTAGCTTACAATGATGTCAAATATGGTTATTTTTTTATTAACACGTCGTCTGTTTCCCACCAAGGTTGGGTGACCCGAAAACGAAGAAACAGTTTCATTGTTATTCACTCTATAACTGTCTTGCTAAATGCCAGACGTGTTAATAGTATAAATTTGCTTTCAACAAAGGAAATGTAAATAGGAGATATACGTCAAGATGTACTCTTTTGATGGAGATATACGTCAAGATGTACTCTTTTGGTGGAGATATACATCAAGATGTACTCTTTTGGTGGAGTTATACGTCAAGATGTACTCTTTTGATGGAGATATACGTCAAGATGTACTCTTTTGATGGAGATATACGTCAAGATGTACTCTTTTGATGGAGATATACGTCAAGATGTACTCTTTTGGTGGAGATATACGTCAAGATGTACTCTTTTGGTGGAGATATACGTCAAGATGTACTCTTTTGGAGATATACGTCAAGATGTACTCTTTTGGTGGAGATATACGTCAAGATGTACTCTTTTGGTGGAGATATACGTCAAGATGTACTCTTTTGGTGGAGATATAAACGTCAAGATGTTCTTTTGGTGGAGATATACATCAAGATGTACTCTTTTGGTGGAGTTATACGTCAAGATGTACTCTTTTGATGGAGATATACGTCAAGATGTACTCTTTTGATTGAGATATACGTCAAGATGTACTCTTTTGATGGAGATATACGTCAAGATGTACTCTTTTGGTGGAGATATACGTCAAGATGTACTCTTTTGGTGGAGATATACGTCAAGATGTACTCTTTTGGTGGAGATATACGTCAAGATGTACTCTTTTGGTGGAGATATACGTCAAGATGTACTCTTTTGGTGGAGATATACGTCAAGATGTACTCTTTTGGTGGAGATATACGTCAAGATGTATCTTTTTGGTGGAGATTACGTCAAGTGTACTCTTTTTGGTGGAGATATACGTCAAGATGTACTTTTTGGGGAGATATACGTCAAGTGTTTCTTTGGTGGAGATTATACGTCAAGATGTACTCTATGGTGGAGATATACCGTTAAGATGTTCTCTTTTTGGTGGAGAATACTCAAGATTGTACTCTATTGGAGGAGACATACGTCAAGATGTTCATCTTTGGTGGAGATAACTAAGATGTTCCATTTTGGATGAGATATACGTCAAGATGTTCCTTTTGGTGGAGATATACGTCAAGATTGACTCTATTGGATGGAGATATACGTCAGATGTTCTCTTTTGGTGGAGATATTTACGTCAAGAATGTTTTTTTGGGTGGAGATATAACGTACAAAGATGTACTCCTTCTTGATGAGAGATATACGTCAAGATGTACTCTTTTGGTGGAGTTAACGTCAAGTTGTACTTTTGGTGGAGATATACGCAAGATGTCTCGTTTGTGAGAGAGTATACGTAAGATGTACTCTTGATGGAGATATACGTCAAGATGTACTTATTGGTGGAGATATACGTCAAGATGTTCTCTTTTGGTGGAGATATACGTCAAGATGTTCTCTTTTGATGGAGTTATTACGTCAAGTGTCTCATTTGATGAGATTTACGTCAAGATGACCATAATTTGATGGAGTTTACGTCAAGATGTACTCTTGTGATGGAGATATACCGTCAAGAATGTACTCTTTTGGTGAGTTATACGTCCAAGTCGTACTTTTTGGTGGAGATATACGTCAAGCATGTATCTTTTGGTGAGATATACTCAAGATGTAGTACTCTTATATGGAGATATACTCAAGATGTACTTTTTTGTGGAGTTATACGTCCAGATGTACTCTTTTGATGGAGATATACGTCAAGATGTACTCTTTTGGTGGAGTTATACGTCAAGATGTACTCTTTTGGTGCCTAGTTTCTAGGTCCTGTGTGTTCACATGCTATTGCGCTGCTGTTCCGGGGATGGATTAGGGGACACAATCACCTAGCTGCTATTGTCCAAAGGTTGTATGGGTTGAATAATAACTGAACCATACACAGAAGGATATGGGGGTGGATAAGAGATAAGATAAGATTTCGTTCGGATTTTTAACCCCGGAGGGTTAGCCACCCAGGATAACCCAAGAAAGTCAGTGCGTCATCGTGATCGTCTAACTTATTTCCATTGGGGTCCTTAATCTTGTACCCCAGGATGCGACCCACACCAGTCGACTAAACCCGGGTACTAATTTGCTCTATGGTGAACGGACAACAGGTGTAAGGAAACGTGTCGAAATGTTTCCACCGCCGGGAATCGAACCGGCCTCCGTGTGTGAATGCAGGAGCTTTAGGCCACCAGTCACCGGGCCTGCGAATTTACTCAGAATTATAAATAAATTACTGTAGAACTGATCGTTAAGAAATTAGCTACTACTATCTTCATGATGGTATGTGGATGAGATAATATGCTAGCTGCTACGTCCCAGGAAGGATTAGGGGATAGACAATAAGCAGAAGTGTATCGTCCGAATGACGGATATATGACGACACAATAAACTAACTGCTACCGTCGTGGGAGGATTGGGTGTGTAAATAATCTTGTTCGTTTCGGCGGCTAAATCTAATCTATTACTGGACACAGTTCGTATGGTTAGAATTATATTAAGCTTATTTTGGTTTGACAAAGATCCATTTGTTTGGTTGTTTGGATGGGGAAGCGCACGCACTGGCAGCACTCACACTTACAAACACACACACACACACACACACACACACACCACACACACACAACACACACACACACACACACACACACACACACACACACACACACACACACACACACGCCTTGGTCGTGGGGTTGCAAGGCTGACCTGCCAAAGCCTTCAGTTGCGTCGCGGGCATTGTCGAGGAGAGATGTGTCGCTCATGCTTCTGCTCCACCCACCACGTGGGTCTTCCCCAGTAACATGTTAGGGTATTAAAGCGAGTGCGTCCATCAGTCACTTCTGTAAATATGTGTTAGTTTTATCTCTCTGATCAGAGTTGGAAAAAGAGAACTCTAGACGTGTTTCACGGTGAATTCACACAACAAACTCTCCTTTTATCTTGTTTCCATGAACGTAAACATTGTGGATCAACTAGAACTCTTTCTAAACGTGATATCATCAGGGAATTAAGAAACGAAGGCGAATATCAGTTTCAGCAACGAAAGGACGTCCTGTAGGAGGCGAGGCAGCCGCTGCAGTAGAGAAGGAAACTGCTGCAGTAGAGAAGGAAGCTGCTGCAGCAGAGAAGGAAGCTGCTGCAGGGGTATAATCTCAGCAGCAGGATGACAGGAGCCGCAGCGGGTGTGAGGTGGCTGGTAGCAGCAGTGGTAGTGACCGGTACCTTTAGTACCCTTCAGCGAGGCATGTAAGTACTTTACAATGTAAATTACCTCTACCCGACAGTCTCCATGCTCTTTGTTCTGCTAGCCATGAAGTTATGTACCGTACATTCAGCTTTGTTATCCTGGCCATGAAGTTATGCACCGTACATTCAGTTTTGTTATCCTGGCCATGAAGTTATGTACCGTACATTCAGTTTTGTTATCCTGGCCATAAAGTTATGTACCGTACATTCAGTTTTGTTATCCTGGCCATGAAGTTATGTACCGTACATTCAGTTTTGTTATCCTGGCCATGAAGTTAGGTACCGTACATTTAGTTTTGTTATCCTGGCCATGAAGTTAGGTACCGTACATTCAGTTTTGTTATCCTGGCCATGAAGTTATGTACCGTACATTAAGTTTTGTTATCCTGGCCATGAAGTTATGTATCGTACATTCAGTTTTGTTATCCTGGCCATGAAGTTAGGTACCGTACATTCAGTTTTGTTATCCTGGCCATGAAGTTATGTACCGTACATTCAGTTTTGTTATCCTGGCCATGAAGTTAGGTACCATACATTCAGTTTTGTTATCCTGGCCATGAAGTTAGGTACCGTACATTCAGTTTTGTTATCCTGGCCATGAAGTTATGTACTGTACATTCAGTTTTGTTATCCTGGCCATGAAATTAGGTACCGTACATTCAGTTTTGTTATCCTGGCCATGAAGTTATGTACCGTACATTCAGTTTTGTTATCCTGGCCATGAAGTTAGGTACCGTACATTCAGTTTGTTATCCTGGCCATGAAGTTATGTACCGTACATTCAGTTTTGTTATCCTGGCCATGAAGTTAGGTACCGTACATTCAGTTTTGTTATCCTGGCCATGAAGTTATGTACCGTACATTAAGTTTTGTTATCCTGGCCATGAAGTTATGTACCGTACATTAAGTTTTGTTATCCTGGCCATGAAGTTATGTACCGTGCATTCAGTTTTGTTATCCTGGCCATGAAGTTAGGTACCGTGCATTCATTTTTGTTCTCGTAGTTATGCACATGTGTTTCATATAATGTAGTTTTGTATCTGTATACGTGAAGTTATGTACGGTACATAGATTTTTTCCTGTACCCATAAAGTTACGTAAGATATATAGTAGTTTTATTCTTGTACTCATGAAGTTATGTGCTTTACATTGTAACTCTGTCCTTGTGTATGGTATACTGTAGTTTTATTCCTAAAGCTTGTATTTATACAACCAATACTGTAGCTCTTTTAGCGCAGAAAGTGTTCCGTCCAACGAAAGTTACACATAACGATAATGAATCACTGTACCGGAAGTTACTTTTAGCGAGGAATGTATGTACTGTAGATTACAGTATCCTGTAGTAAGAATGTGTGGCGCGTATACTGTAGATTACAGATAATGTGTAATATATACATCGCATACTACAAATTCCTGTCACGACGAATTCATTATCCATTTAGAGTAGGCTTAATGTTACGAGAGATTAAAGTATATTAAAGTATATTCATAGATAATATATAATGAAAGATACGCAACTCTTGTTGCATATATAATGAGAGATACACAACTCTTGTTGCATATATAATGAGAGATACACAACTCTTGTTGGATATATAATGAGAGATACACAACTCTTGTTGCATATATAATGAGAGATACACAACTCTTGTTGCATATATAATGAGAGATACACAACTCTTGTTGCATATATAATGAGAGATACACAACTCTTGTTGCATATATAATGAGAAATACACAACTCTTGTTGCACATATAATGAGAGATACACAACTCTTGTTGCATATATAATGAGAGATACATACAAACCTCACTATGAATATACTCTTGTTTCTGGAATAATGTTGGTAGAATTACCGTCAATTGTTAGGTAAAAGGACACATGTGCAACTAATGTCACATTTTACTGTGGCAACTTTTCGCTTTCCAGGAGTTTCGTCAAACTTGACAAAGCTCCTGGAGAGCGAAATGTTGCCACAGTAAAATGTGACATTAGTTGCACATGTGTCTTTTTATCTAAGACCCTGAATATATTACAGATGGCTAGAAGAGTGAGGCCTCAACACCTGTATACTGTGTGTTCCAGATGGCTAGAAGAGTGAGGCCTCAACACCTGTATACTGTGTGTTCCAGATGGCTAGAAGAGTGAGGCCTCAACACCTGTATACTGTGTGTTCCTTAGTTTAAGCAGTGATACTAATACATGATGCAGGTTTCGCCTATACATGGCCTCATATATTTGTCTAATATAGTCTAAATCTACCAAGGGTATCATCTGTAATGATGTTATTTGGCAGTCTGTTCCAGTCCTCTACAACTTCTGCCAAGTCAGTGCTTTCCAGGGCTCTTCATATTCCTGAATTTATTAACTTAAATCCTTGTTATGGAAATAATTTATGGAAATTTATTTCATTTATACCCATAATATAGATGCATGCATAGATGTATGTATTCTTGCAAGCACCATAGTTATTTAATGTGCAAATAGATGGAGTTATGAAGGAATAGAAAGTGAGAGTATTTGAGAGATGTGTGGTACTGCATGATAATAATTCTGATTATAATTGCAGTTGTCACAGTTGCTGTTTTCAGACTGCAGTCTTTTCGGGAAATTCAGAGATGGGAAAGTGGTGAAAGGAGTTTGGAAAGACGCGTAAGTGAGGTCTTCAGCTTCCAACTGTGACCCGTTGTTGCTGTGTCCCATCTCCGGAACATCTTGTCTCTATCCACCCTGTCAATTCCTCTCAGTATTTTATATGTAATTATCATGTCCCCTTATCCCTCCTGTTCTCCAGAGTCGTCAGGTCGATTTCCTTTAACCTTTCCTCGTAGGACATACCCTTCAGCTCTGGAACTAATCTTGTTGCAAACCTTTGTACTTTCTCTAATTTCTTGACGTGCTTGACCAGGTGTGGGTTTCAAACTGGTGCTGCATACTCCAATATGGACCTGACATACACCGTGTACAGTCTTCAACGATTCCTTATTGAGGTGTCGCAACGCTATTCGTATATTTGCTAGGCGCCCATATCCTGCAGCAATTATTTGGTTGATGTGCGCCTCAGGAGATGTGCTCGGTATTATACTCATCCTACGATCCTTTTCCTTGAGTAAGGTTTGCAGTCTTTGGCCCTCTAGCCTGTACTCCGTCTGCGTTCTTCTTTACTCTTCCACAAACTTCATGACTTTTCTAATAGCCAGTTGCTTAACCAGGCTTGCAGCCTGTTCAGATCCCATTGTAGTCCTGTATCAATGTCGTTTCCAATATTTCCATCCTTCCCCATCCTTCTTCCTCCCCATCTTACCGCAGCTCTGGTCGTATTCGTTGTCATGTTGAGTTCTACACATACTTCTCGGTCGTTTCCTGTGAATTTCCCTCCTTTTTCCTCAGCCTGTACTCACCTATTTGTGGTTACAGGGGTCTAGTCAAAGCTCCTGTGTGTGTGTGTGTGTGTGTCTGTGTGTGTGTGTGTGTGTGTGTGTGTGTGTGTGTGTGTGTGTGTGTGTGTGTGTGTGTGAGCGTGAGTGTGTGTGTGTGTGTACTAACCTAGTTGAGGTTGCAGGGGTCGAGTCCAAGCTCCTGGTCCCGCCTCTTCACTGGTCGCTACTAGGTCACTCTCCCTGAACCGTGAGCTTTATCATACCTTTGCTTTAAACTATGTATGAATCCTGCCTCCACTACATCGCTTCCCAAACTATTCCACTTCCTGACTACTCTGTGGCTGAAGAAATACTTCCTAACATCCCTGTGATTCATCTGTGTCTTCAACTTCCAACTGTGTCCCCTTGTTGCTGTGTCCCATCTCTGGAACATCCTGTCTTTGTCCACCTTGTCAATTCCTCTCAGTATTTTGTATGTCGTTATCATGTACCCCCTATCTCTCCTGTCCTCCAGCGTCATCAGGTTGATTTCCCTTAACCTCTCCTCGTAGGACATACCTCTTAGCTCTGGGACGAGTCTTGTTGCAAACCTTTGCACTTTCTCTAGTTTCATTACGTGCTTGGCTAGGTGTGGGTTCCAAACTGGTGCCGCATACTCCAATATGGGCCTAACGTAGACGGTGTACAGGGTCCTGAATGATTCCTTATTAAGATGTCGGAATGCTGTTCTGAGGTTTGCTAGGCGCCCATATGCTGCAGCAGTTATTTGGTTGATGTGCGCTTCAGGAGATGTGCCTGGTGTTATACTCACCCCAAGATCTTTTTCCTTGAGTGAGGTTTGTAGTCTCTGACCCCCTAGACTGTACTCCGTCTGCGGCCTTCTTTGCCCTTCCCCAATCTTCATGACTTTGCACTTGGTGGGATTGAACTCCAGGAGCCAATTGCTGGACCAGGTCTGCAGCCTGTCCAGATCCCTTTGTAGTTCTGCCTGGTCTTCGATCGAGTGTATTCTTCTCATCAACTTCACGTCATCTGCAAACAGGGACACCTCAGAGTCTATTCCTTCCGTCATGTCGTTCACAAATACCAGAAACAGCACTGGTCCTAGGAATGACCCCTGCGGGACCCCGCTGGTCACAGGTGCCCACTCTGACACCTCGCCACGTACCATGACTCGCTGCTGTCTTCCTGACAAGTATTCCCTGATCCATTGTAGTGCCTTCCCTGTTATCCCTGCTTGGTCCTCCAGTTTTTGCACCAATCTCTTGTGTGGAACTGTGTCAAACGCCTTCTTGCAGTCCAAGAAAATGCAATCCACCCACCCTCTCTCTTCTTGTCTTACTGCTGTCACCATGTCATAGAACTCCAGTAGGTTTGTGACACAGGATTTCCCGTCCCTGAAACCATGTTAGCTGCTGTTGATGAGATCATTCCTTTCTAGGTGTTCCACCACTCTTCTCTGATAATCTTCTCCATGATTTTGCATACTATACATGTCAGTGACACTGGTCTGTAGTTTAATGCTTCATGTCTGTCTCCTTTTTTAAAGATATGGACTACATTTGCTGTCTTCCATGCCTCAGGCAATCTCCCTGTTTCGATAGATGTATTGAATATTG